GCACAGTGCTTTCTTTCAGTACTTACAGCACAGAAAACCTCTGTTCCTTAGGTTTCCATTTGTACTTGCAGCAGAGGTACAGAAGCTCTATTTTCTAAACACCCTGTTCTGCCTTCATATAAGTGATACTCCTGATAAAGTTGCAGAACAGTTCTTTAATGTAAATTAAGCACTATGAAGGTAACCACATTAATTCATTTATCCAATGCAACATAAAAAGGTTTAAGGGTTTTGAAGAAGTTGTGGGAAAACCTTACATCATGACTGCAAAGACACTCTCCAAAGAAAGAAAAAAAAATTCTAAGCTCAGAGTCACAGAACATGTATCTTGGAAAGGACCTGTGGAAGTCACCTAGCCCAAGTCCTCGCTCTCTGCAGGACTGACTTTGTCATTAGATCAGGTTGCTCATAGTCACATTCAGTCAAGGTTTGAACGTCTCTCCTAGAATGGTGAAGGCACAGGTCCAGAATTTCTTGAGCCAAGGAATAATAGTTGTGATTTTGAGAAACTCAAAATCCTTAAGTCACTTCTGTTTGCCTCATTTATTACAAAAAATTTCAACAAGAAGTCTAATGTATGATGAAACGTATATACATGAATTAGAAGGAGGTGGTAGTTTCCAAAAAAAAACTTTAATGAAAATTGGATGACAACTCTCATAATCAAAGGCAAGGGAAGGAAATATTGGTTTAAGAACCAATTATTAAATCACACATTATTATGTTGAAACAACTTTAGGTGCAGCTACATCAAATAATTTCTTAAGATACAGTATGAGCCTTAGAACTATCATTTTCATGTCTCTTAAGTAAATCTCTAGATTGTACATGGATGAGAACAGAAAGCCTAGATGGAGCTTCTTCTGTACTGTTTGTCATGTCATCTGTTAACAGATGACAAACTGGTACAATGTTCTAGTCACACCTTCTTTTTACGTCAACAAAAAATAAGAAATGGCATGAACTAAAAAAAAAAAAAAAAAAGCCATGAACCCAGATTTTGAAACTATACAGTACTGTCTCTAGTCCTCATATAAACTCAAGTGGTTAGTGTTGTTTCTGTATTTATTGCTCCGAGACCATGAGATTTAGTACATTTATAAGAGACACCTATAACACATATTAGAATGGAGCCTATCCTGGAACACGGATTAATACACTTCATCTATGAAAAATCCTTTACATAAAGAAACAACTTGATTTTAAAATGATAAAGTCCTAAACAGTGCTTTTTGATAAAACTGAAAATTTATCCACATCTGCTCCTATAATTCTGAGCAAAAACCTGACCTAGAGGACATTTCACACCATAAACTTATTTATCAGAGAGTTGATTCCTTCATTTTTTATCTCACGTCTAATTCTGTCAGTCTTTCTTTATATAGTGAAAAGGTCAAATACACCTGGCATTTCAACTTGTAACACATTCTCCTTCATCACGTCATATAAGACTTAGGGACAATTTACTTAATTTACAATACTATTAATGTAATTAGTATATTATGTCCTCTGGATTGAGTTTTGTCCTAATTTCCACCAATGAATCTTGACAGACTTACTGTTTTATTAAGGGCAGAATTTGGAACACTAAAATAGCCCTTCTTTTACATGTATTTAAAAGACAGAATCATTTCAAAACTGTACATCATCTGAATATTTTGAAAGGTGTTTAAATATACCATCCTTAGCAATTTCTCATATTTTATATTAATGAATCAAAGCAGATGCCTAGTTATGCACAATCTAGACACACACTTGAGAAAGGAGAGATAACGGTATTTTTGAGAATTGCCTGCCAGAGGAATCACTGTTACAATACTGTTGGGCAGCCATGCATGCTCTTCTTCAGGTTTGAAGCCCCCATTCTTTGACCTTCAGATCTTTGTCACTGCAGTGCAACTTCTTAAAATTTCAATTTTCATGTGCCATTAAGTGCCATTCTACATGAGGTTCTGAAAGGCGGGCAGTCTGAACATTTGTCTCATTTTCAATGTATGATGTCCTCTTCCAGAGTATTTATACTTTATTCCTCAGAACTATGAAGTCTTAAGTCTTTCAAGGGTATGAAGACAGAAACTGTGCCCAACTTAATCCCAAACATACCAAGTGAATAAAAGCCCTTGAGAGAAACTAGCAAAGCCTCTCAACTCAGTGTAGCCTCATCTGATTTATAATCCAAATGTATTTCTCTTGAACAAGCTAAACAAGGGAAGAAATGACTTACAGCTAAGAGTTTGTCATGCACGACATTCTGAAATACAAATCTGAGTCTTAAGGGCTCTAAACCAGTTTCATAATCATGAAGGGTCATACAAACATGCATGCATTGAATGCCAAATAATAATTCTGAAGATTTATGTTTATACATTAAAATGAGATTAATGAAACAATTTATTAGCTAAAAAGAATCCAACAGATGATGAAAAAGTATAGTTTTCTTTGTAAAAGATACTACAAGGAAAGACTTCAGGCAATAACATGCAGTGGTCTAATTAAAGTAGGCTGTCTTACAAAAATCATACTGTATAATCAGGCCATGAAAGCAATGCAAAGGGAGTAGCAGAACATTGCAAGTTGTTGAGTCAGATCTTTTAATTTGAGTAAGAGGCACTCAGATCAAAGGAGGATTAGATTCTAGTGTAGTATCACACTGATGCTGTACATATGAAGAAAGTAGGGCACTCTCACTTTGCTGCTGAAATTTTAATGCCATTTCACAATTATGGAGTGTGAAAAAATATCTCTTGGTTGATAATCAGAGTATCCAAGCTAAATTACTGACTTCCCCAGTGAGCTTGTCACACCACAATAAAGAATTAAAAATATTCTTAATTCAAGGTGTGATCTAGCCTTTAAAACCTTTCCAAATTTCTGTGATACCCACATTCAAACTATACTTTACTTCATGCAGAATAAATACACCCATTATTCTCCTATGTATTTTAGGACTGGAATGTCTGGAGGTATAGCAAAGGAGTAAAAAAGGGAATATAGCAGTGCTCTAGTATACTGACTTTTGTCTAGACAGGCCACAGCTTGCTGAAAGCCAAAACTTAGCTGTCCAGGTAACAGAGTCCTCAGGGTGCTGGAATGTGCTACTGGGGCCTGTACGTGGGCCTGTATGTAAGACTTGCAAACAAAAACTGGTATGAATTAAACTTATGAACAGATTCCAAACTGAAAGTCAAAAAGGTTCATAAGTTTTCCACTGTTGTTAATAAGAAAAATAAACAGTTTAGCAGCGAGGTGCAAAAATCATCTTCAAGGTGAAGATGAGTTTTACAGTTTTACAGTTTTACTTCCACAAAGGTAGAAAACTTGAAAAATCAGAACAGCTTTCTGAGTACGATGACCATTTTCACAACAGCTGAAAAGTAGTTACAGAAAAGCTATCACAACTTGAGGTATCACTTCAGGCATCAGACAGCCCAGAACAGAACATGATCTTAAGTTTGTGCATTCAATTCACAGAATGTGAACCCTTTTAGCTTACAAGAACACTGCACAAGACTGTGTACTCCAAATGATTCAGCCTACCTTCTACAGTATAGATGCTCTATGTCATGATCTGCAAATTGACAGTATTGGACCAAATATAAAATCAAGGGTTTTATCTAGCCACCTAGCTAGAAGAGGATAAATGTAGTAAAACACAATTATGTTAAGCCTTTCCTATGAGAAAGATGGTTCCTTCCTTTTGTTTAAAAGGATGAAAACACAATGGGTTGAAGAGCTAACACCAAAAAGTTTCAAAATTTATTTTGGACAGTTAGATAACAGAATTTGAAAATTATCATAACAAAGTTTTCTTTATGTGATTTCCAATATAATTTGACCTGTATGATCAAAATGTTTGATACTTCATCGTTGACTTTGTGGCTACAAAAGACTAATGCAAACCAGAAAAAAAGATAGAACCAGACACTTCACTCTTGGCTTCAAGTGAGCCAAGTCTGACTTTGTTCTGTTTTTATCTACCCATCTAGCTTCCAAAATTACAAGAGATCAAGTTGGTGCTGATTACATCACTGTAACAAAATGTCAGCTAGTCACTTAAAGACCAGCTCTTTTTGTAAATTCAACCTTAGATGATATGGCTGATATATATTTGCAAAAAAAAAAAAAAAAAAAAGTAAAAATGTTTTTCTCTTATGGGAAGACTATACATAAAAAAGCATTCAGACTTTCTTATAAAAATAATACTGAATACATTTGAACACAGAAATGTGTCCAGAGTGTTCAGAGACACCTCTTTTACTTTGCTATGTCAGTCACTGTCTTAAACAGTGAAATCAGCCATGGAGGACTTTAAAATATTTTATTTTTTTCATCTAAATTTTTTAAGTATGTGTTAACAGACTTGTACAGGATAGTGCCAGTAACTCATAGAAGGTTGATGAATAACTGAAAATAGCCCTCAGGAAAGAAGAAAAAAACAACCAAACAAAAAAACCCACCACCACATACTCTCACTACTCTGTAAAACTGCATTTGAAATACCCAATACTAGTATGCTTTATCCTGTCAGCTTACAGGTCCCCATCCAATATATCCTGATTTTTGTTATTGTTTGAAAAAAAAAATACGATTATAAAATATAAGCCATCACAGTCTACGCTATAAGTCAACTGAACCAATTTTACTAGTGCAGGGTTTGTTCTAGCAAAAAATCAATAAATTTTGTCTTCATTTCCACTCTCAATTTTTATGGCTCTGCTAGTCAATACCTACTGTACAAACAGCCAAAAACATTTCTCTTTATTCAACCGTACTCCCTTTCAACACAAAACAGATAGGTTTCACTGAATATCCCACAGAGTGACTCAGCCTTCCCATAGTTCAAGATTAACCTCTAGATCTTTGCAGTACTTTTCAATCCATTGCGTGTAGTTGTACATGACTGCTGGGGGATGGATGCATTTGGAAAAACCTGGGACTAGACAAGTAAAATTATTTTTTTCCTCGAAACTGATGCTTTGTGTTTGTTGATGGTTTCTTACCTCATTGTCTGACTCCACAAGCACTTGATCATATTCACTAAGAGCTACTAGGAACATGATAGATGTGACGTTTTCAAAGCAATGTATCCATTTTCTTCTTTCTGATCGTTGGCCTCCTACATCCACCATTCTGCAAAATTAATATCCACATCAACTCCATGAATACCATAACAGATGAACATACAAGCACATACAAAAAAAAAAAACAAAAACAAAAAAGAATTTAGTTGAAAACACAGTTTGGTTTTCTTAATGTTTTTTCCATTGATATTAAAGTTTAACAGAATCTGTTGTAAGTAATCCTGTTTGATATTCAGACTGACGTGTTCCTGTATTTAAATTACTGTGAGTCTCAAAGCCTTCAAATTTCTGAGATGATAAAGTCTGCCGATCCTGAGTCACGATTACGGAATGTATACTCTGTATATTTAGCAAAACACATAACAGTCTCGGTGGTTTGCCTCTTCCCTCCAAAAATTACCAGTGTCAAAATTCCCAGTTTGCCAAAGATGACCCATTTTAAGAGTACATAAAGAAAACGAATTTACCTACTTAAGTTGTTAATAGCCAGCAGAAAAACTCAAATGTATTAGCAGTTTACTCTCACACTGCCCTCTGTCTCAGTGTAACTAAACTCTCAGGTGCCTAACTTGCAATTGACATCCCATAATTATTTTTTAAGCACCAGTACTTGCACTCCAGTAGACATGATTTCTCTCCAGGAGAGTGACTTCTTGCTAATACTTAACTACACAAGTGGTAATTATGCATTCCATAATTTACAAGAATTAGGATACCTGATTGCATTTTCATGTTATTATTCCTAATAAGACTTTGATAAATTTTACTGAAAAGATGAATTATAGGCTTTATCAGTAATAACTGTCTTCAGAAAAAGAATAACTTAATTCTCTTTCACCCTTTGACATCTTTAACATCAGCTGCTAATTACATGCGGACAGTGACACGAAAATAAAATAGACAAGCTCAAACTGTAAAAGCATAGAATAACACTTTTTTGTGCAATTTTAACCAATATCCTATATGTGGCATTATTAATGCAAGAGGAAGCAACAAAAACAAAGCAAATGCCTGTTAAACTTTTTTTCTACCTGAAAATGACGCTTTGTAGGTCGAATGGATATTCAATGATTCCTGTTGTTGGGACTCGAACTCTAAGCACATCTTGCTGAGTTGGCAGATAGGTGGAATCTGCTATGCGGTCCAAGTCATTAAGATAGCTATAGACAGGGAGAAACAAAAGGAATGCAAGACAGTGACACCATAATTTGACTAAGGAAGAGAGAAGGGAAGACTTGGGAGCGGAAATGGGCTGTGGGATAGGAAGAAGTGCAACAAAAAAAAAGCATTATTGGCATAAAAGAGGGAACAAACTGTAATGTGATCCATTCACCCTTCCTGGGCACTTTCACAGAGTTAAGTAAATCCTACAAAATGGAAATATAAAATTGCATAGTCTTATGTGACAACATAACACATTCCTTGATATTCACATTTCAGTGTCTACACAGATACATAGATAAACGTGAGTCTCCCAAGGAACAATGAAGTGATATTATCACTTCACTATAAATACATATATATGTATGTACATGGAGGTTTATATTCAAGTATATATGTATATAAAATATTTACCATTTATAAAATGATTAGGGATAAATGGCACTGCTTGAAGATCAATTAAAAAATAATAATTAAACAAAGAAGGAAAAAAGCACCCAATGACAAATTAAGGAACTTTCTGGATCTTGTTGTTGGAAGACAGCACTGATCCCACAGTGGGATCTCTGGCACTTAAAATTCCTGCATTTACACTGAAACCTCTGATCAGATTAATAACCCTGAAGTATGTGAAATACATCCCAGCTGATTAGCAAAAAAATAAATAAATAAATAAATAAATTTGCAATAAAATTCCTGGTAAAGATTCATTAACTACAACACAGAACTCAGTGGTTTGCATCTATAAAGCAGAAATATACTGGAGGTTTTGCCTAACTCTCTTAAGAGAGAGGCCTTAATAAAGATATGTACCTATGTGTGTGCGATGGCCTGTTTGGGTCCAGGAGCTGGACATTTGATGAATTCAGTGCAGCAGACAGCATGGGCTCTCCCCACAGCAGACATCTGAGAGAAAGACTGCTGCAGCAAATGAAGTTCTCAGGCATTTGATTACTTCCAAGCACAAGAATGACTTAGAGCTAGCCACTGATATCAGTTAACCTAAGAATGCCCTGATTCATTGCTGGGGAGGGCAGCAATGGACTCCTTGAATTTTTCAAATGATGAAGTATGTTCTCTTCCTCCTGGTTATTACCGAAGGTGCTCTTTTTAAATAAACCCCCACAATAAATACTTAGACTATTTCTAAATGCTCTGAAGGACTTGTTATGAAATAGTGGGAGCAAATTATCCTGAACAATGACAGAAACAAACCAGTTTGAGCTCTACCTTACAGCAAAAATTCAGAAGAATTTATCTGTTAGGTCTGGAAGGGATCCAAATGCCTTATAACGTTTTCCTATGATTTTATTCATGAGAGATTAATCTGATAGTAAACAATGAATGTGAGAAAGTTACATATATTTAGAAAGATATATTGAACCATCTATCTCAGATATCATATTCAGAAGCTATTACTTTGAAAATATTTCTCAGAATACAGATTAATTTCTGCCTGTAAGAAAAAGGCTTAAGAACATGAGCAATTCATCTGCCCTTAGATGCTTTGATGCTTTACACACACACACACCAAAAAAAAAAAAAAAAAAAAAAAAGAACAAGTGCATCATCATTTGTTCGGGGAAAAAAAAAAAAAAAAGTGAAGGAAATTCATAACCACCACAAGAGGAAACTGATGGAGACCCTGAAACACCGTTTTTCCCCTCCCAACTGGCAAAATTGGTTTTGTTACTTCTATTTTGGAAAGCTACAAAGAAGCACTGTGTGTCACTACATGCTACAGTAGTATTCAAGACAGCAAAGAATCTTAGCAAAATAAATTGGCAGGTGTCCCTTTCATACAATCACCCTCTTGCACAATTTTGGAAAGCTTCAGCTGGTCTCTGATGCGATCCTGGTGACCGTACTTCTGAACCATGAGCACAGTGGACGTAGTACTAAGATACGCTCACTGATTTTAGAAAGCAAGTAATTTAAAGGCGTATTATTCAATAAGCAAATTTCATTTTTGCTACTTGAAGCCATTCAAAGGACAGATGAGTATTTTTTTTCTGTCCTAGCACAACTCACTGATGTCATTAAGTTCCACAAAAACTAATTTATCCTTTACAAATACATCTTTTCTTCATTCTTAGTTTTGTTCTTACAAATGTACTAAACAGAAACCTTCATACTCATTTCACCAGCAAGCACCATATACAGCCTAAAAAGTCCATAACAGAGTCCTTACAGATCTTTACAGAGGCCTGTTTCTTATCCTAGATTTCTTACCTAACAAACAAAAGAATGTAGAGCACTCTAAGAAATCTCCAAAACTATGAATTCAAACCCAGAATCAAGGAAGCTGTGTCAAAAACCAGTCAGAGTAACTCACAGAATATAAATAAATAAATAAATAAATTCTAAAAAGGATAAAAGAAAAAAACAGACAACATGCACAACAACCTACTGGAAAAAAAAATAAATTCATATTTGCAAATCAAGAACAGAATTTATAGTCCAACAAAATCAATTCATTTTTTGTTTTTGCAAAATTTAGTCCTTACTACTTTTACTTATGACTTAAAACCTAGTAAATAAATACTTCATTATATGCTTTTATTTAAATGAAAATAGCCCAGTTTTTTGTTGCACAACTTCTAAATCTGTTATTATTATTGTAATTTTTGTGATGCAAGCATACAACAAAGAGTCAATGAAATTCTTTAAGGTAGAAGAAAACCCTCCTTTTCTATTAAGCTTTTATTATTATTTATTTATTTTAAACTGAGACATATCTGCTGAAGAACTGTTTGTGCTGGAATTCAGATTTTAATAATGCTTGTGCATTCTTGCTCTGAATCAAAGGAATAGAGGTTTATTTATTTTATCCTTCTTTGCATGACTGTATTTTCTGTTACTTAAACAGTTCTGCAGATTAGCTATACTTCCTATTACCATATAACATACATAACTTCACATACTTTAAATGATTTGGAAGGGGGTTAAAAGAGTTTCTGAAAAAAAGCTTTGCCCTTCAAGATACTCTAAAATCACTGAAACCTACTTACATCTCTCTTACAATTCATGCCTCTTAAACAAAGTAAAACAATTTGTTACTATTTGTATTAATTACAGAATAGTATGATTCTATGTACACAGAGCTACACAGAAAAAAAGAAATACTCTTCTTTAAACACAAAAATAGATTTTTACATTGCACTAGGAGGTATGGTGTGATGGCTTGATCTTTCTTAATACCTTAGGTTGTTGGATTGATTTTACTATTTCAAAATGCTCTGCCTGGAAGTCAGTGCCCGTAAGCATCTGCAAGCTCTTTCACTTGCACAATAGCGCTGTAACAGATTTCTCTCAAAATGATTAGGAATAGTGAAGAAAAGCTATTAAAATTGTTCAAATTAAGGTAGATAATATGACTGATGTGAGGATACAGGAAGTCCACAAACCGCAGCAGAAAGACAGGCTGCAGCTATTACCTTCCTTGGCTTATCTATACCTTGTGAAGCCAGGGTTTCAAGAGTCTCTGAATTCACACAGGTGATGAAGGAAGGAAACTAGAAAACTGTATATACATATTTATATACACATATACACACATATATACATACATATATACGTATTTATGTATGTATTTATTTATATATATATATTTTTTGACATCCATTTGTTATAAGCCTGATTCACTGTAGCTTTGAAGTGCCTACTTAATGGTGCCCTAATCAAACCCCTGGTAAAAACATCACTCATGGGCAAACACATCCTGTGCACATACAAAAAAATTAACCATGTATGGTTAACCAGGTATGCACAGAGTGTTTTAGAATAACTTAGAAAATGATTTCTAAAAAGTCCTTTAGAACTTTCACCACATGCATGTATGCACAAATATTGGCATCAGCCTTTGTATCACAAATGACTGTTCAGCATATGCTAGAAATCGATACACATGCACTCTTGCAAGCAAATGATGAAACACATCATAAATATGAACTTTCACCAAAAAAAGTATGCCCAATAATTGCCAAAAGCCAATGTTTCCTTAATCTATTAACTTTATACATTAAATTACTAATAATTAAATGGATATTGGAAATATCCTGGCAACTGCCTTGAGACCTACTCAAAAAACAGGTTAACTGGAGTTACCCACTGGGAACTCACTTACACAGTGAGCAGCAGCTGTGTAAAGCATTTCAGTCTGATCTGTACGGCACTCTGAATTTATTTTTGCCACCTGTCTTACTTTGCTGAGACATACTGTAGTTACATGGCCTCTCACCCAAATAACATTTATTCAGCTAAGCATTATACAAAATAACAGAAAAAAAAAAAAGGAAAATAGTATGAAATTACTTTAATGAAAAAAAAGAAGCAAAATCACATAGGTCCAAGTAAATTTTATAGTGCAGATGAAGTTTAAAAAGTTAATTATACCAGTAATTAGTTTTGTAAAAATGAATTTTAGTGGCTGCTGAGGTAATTTTCCAGGAGGTTGCTATAGTGACAGGCACAAGGTGCATTACCAAGGTAATGTGTGTGTAATGAGCTGCTGACAGTAGCTTTCCCCTGACGTCAAGAAAAACTGCCACAGCCTCATAGTACACTTGTGGTCTGCACACTGACCAGAAACAAAGGAAACCTTTTGTTTCCTAATCAGTATTGAGAGAGAAGTACTCATTTTTAATGCACTTCATATTGCTTATGACAAGGTCCAAAACCACAGCCAGCCTCCAAGGACCCTGCCAAGCTATGAAGGTGCTAATGATACCCTTGAAAGAGAGTGTTTCAAAAGTACCTTTTGTCCATATTTCAAAATAAACAGAAAGAACAGGGTAACAGGAATAGGCTGACTAGCTCTGTATTTTCCTACATGCCCTTCTCATACAGAAAACAGGCAAAAAGGTGAGACTCCTAACCCTATAAACAGGCAGTTTTAACCAATAACCTTCTTCCAGAAGGTAAATACAGCCCCCCTTGCCATAACACAGTAGCTCAACATTCACCTTTAATTCACTTTACAGAGCTGCGTCACCTAAGG